ATGCTTTTGAAGGATTTGTTGCCGAGAAGGCCGTTTTTGAAAGTAATATTGATGAGCGCGACACTTAATGCCGAGATATTTTCTTCATATTTCGGAGGTGTACCAATTATAAATATTCCAGGAAAACTTTTTTCAGTGGAACAGCTCTTCCTTGAAGATATACTCGAGAAAACGGGATACGTTCTCGAAGAAAATTCTAAATTTATTCGTCGAGAAAAAAGAAACATAGAAATTTCTATAGATGACTCAGATATTCAAAGAGCGATCTCATCCCTAGATTTTGCTAAGGAATCTGACGAAGACGAGGATTTGACAATAGAGCAACTCATTAATAGATATCCTGATTATTCTAATCTAACGTATAAAAATTTATTTCTTATGAATCATAACGATATTAATTATGAGCTGATAGAAACGATTGTAGAATGGATTATTAATGGAAAACATGACTATCCAAAAACCGGCTCTATTTTAGTATGTATATACTTTTGACATTTTGCATACTTTGTTCTTATATACACCATGCTGGAAAAGTTATTATTATAGTATCATGAAATATGTAATAATACATGTTATATTTTTTATAATATTTTAGATATTTTTACCAGGTATGACGGAGATAATTACGTTAATAGATCTGCTGGACGAGACTCTGTCACCAAAGAAAAATAAAATTGTAATATATCCATTACATTCGAGCATTTCAACGGAGGAACAGAATCGCGTGTTTCAACAAACCAAAGACGGCGTCCGAAAAATTATAATCAGTACAAATTTGGCCGAGACATCTATCACCATAAATGATTGCGTATTTGTGATCGATTCAGGAAAAATGAAGGAAAACAGATTTAATTCAGATAAGAACATGGAATGTTTACAGAGCTGTTGGGTGTCGAAAGCGAATGTTTTGCAAAGGAAAGGTCGTGCTGGTCGAGTGATGCCTGGGGTCTGCATTCACTTGTACACTTCAAACAGGTGAATCCTTACCTATAATTCTTGTCTAATACAATATAATATTAGCATAAATGATAATATGTGACATTATATATATATATATATATATATATATATATATATATATATATATTATATATATATATATAATTTTGTAGATTCGAATATTTCGCCGCAGAACAAACACCGGAAATACTAAGAATCTCTTTGGAATCGCTACTTCTACGTATTCAACTTATGCACGATGGCAGAAAAGTAGATCTACATAGCATATTGAGTAAAAAATTTTTTCCGTGTTTCTGTACATTCTGTATATATCTCTCTACCTATTTTAAATGTAATGATTCTCTTCTTAATCCTCTTCAACAGGTCGAGTGCTGGACCCACCGAAGCCCAAGGAGATTACAAACGCGATCATACGTTTACAGGATGCCGGTGCATTTAATTCGGATTGCGTGTTGACACCTCTTGGTCATCATTTAGCCAAGTTACCTGTAACTGTAGGAATCGGAAAATTGATACTGTACGGTGCGATCTTTAACTGCTTGGACTCGGTGCTTACTATCGCCGCATGTCTGTCCTACAGAAACCCATTTTACGTGCCATTTGAATTGAGAGAGAGAATCCGCAATCCCAAGTTCAAATTCTTGCAAGCTAACTCGGATCACCTGACCATCCTCAAAGCTTACACGGTAAACGATTATAAAATCATTTCTGATGATTAGTTTAACAACATATTTAATCTATTATAAAACTTATCTTTACAGGAGTGGCAAGCCGCGTGTCGTCGTGGTAAAAACTTTGGTAGAACATTTGCCAAGCAAAATTTCTTGTCTATATATACGTTAAATACTCTAGCGGACTTGAAATACCAATTTTTAGAGTTGCTAGTATCAATTGGTTTCGTGTCTGGGAATTTGTATGGTCGAAGGTCCAACATGGTCGATAATATTTTAACCATCACCGGACCCGAACTGAATATGAACAATCAGAATTATAAGCTCCTGCAAGGTCTCATTTGCGCAGCTCTGTATCCTAATATTGTAAAACTTGACAAACATCCCAATCAACTTAACGCGCAACACTTGGCACTTCAAACGAGAAACAATATTTTAGTCAAAATCCATCCGACATCCGCGGTTTCTCAAACCCACTTTTTCTCGAGCCCATATTTGGCGTATCAGCAGAAGCTCAAAACCAAAGAGATCTTTATTCTAGAAGTATCCATGATTCCAATCTTGCCTTTGATAATATTCTCCGGTTATGACTTAAACATAGAACATCGTGATGGAAAATTTACAGTTTCTCTAGACCATGGCTGGGTTACATTTGAAGTGAATTCATTCTACGTAAGATTAAAGTTATAATAAAAAGTAGACTTTTACCGTATGTCACTTTAATAATATATTCTTCCAGGCGGGAGAGTTTCTACAAGACATGAGAATGGACTTAGGAATATTGTTAACACAGAAGATGCAGAATCCTCTGCTGAATCTTTTAAGCTGTCCAAGAAGCAAAAAAATTATAGACAGAATCATAAATGTAGTGACAAATGAGTAACAGACGAATATTGAAATAATCTATTAAAAACTTAGTAAAAAACTTTTTTTATAAACTTTTAATACTTTAAGGAAGATGTGTATACACACACACACACACACACACACACACACACACACATACACACACAGGATTACTTTTAAAAGTATAAGAACGGTACGAATATCTACGAAAACAAAGACTATTTTAGAAGAAAATGCTTCACACAAAAGTTGCAGGATTTAAAAAGATCTATTTACTGATTTTATCAATTTGACTTTGAATGGCGTTGCCAAGATCATATAGAGATCAACTTTGTTTTTTAAATAGGGATCCCCATTTTTTATTACATATTCTTGTAGTCTACCTCGAGAGCTTTTCAAAACAGTATTTTTTTTTTAATAAGTATTTTCTAAGGTATAAGGCTTGAATTTGTTTGAATTTGTTTGAATGCACCAAATAAATATTTTGTCATTTGTAAATCACATTCAATACAACAATCACATCTTGTTGCGCATCTAGCAATTATAAACATGTGTAATGTTAGATCGTTCTTTCGCGCAAGTGTTATTATTTACGCTTATTTATTAATTTGTATAATCCTTTCATTGTTGAAAATCATAAGAGATGGTGCAGGACTTTTCGATTCAATACAACTAAAGCCACGTCCGTAATACGTAGTGTGACAACGGCTTAACTCTACTTATCTACGAAACGTAATACGATTGTATATGTATATATCATAGAAAAACAATTTAATATTCATAACTGTTACCGACAGATAGATAAGACATATTTTATATTTTATATTTGTCAATAGCTCAGGAAAAATAACATCTTCTACCTCAATAATATTCTAGTAAACATCGAAAATGTAAAAAAATATGTTAAAGATATCTTTTTAAAGACATCTTCGAGATATTTCTAAAAGATATTTAAATGTTATATAAAGGTATCTAATAATATTTTATTGAAAATATCTTCGTAATACTTCTAAAAGATATCTATTGATATCTGAAAGATATCTTAAAAATATCTTTCAAAAATTTGTAATTAACATATTAAAAATATTTGAATTCTTTTAAAAGATGTTTTAAAAGATATTTCTAAAATATCTATTATACATGTTACAAATCTTCTCAAAATATATTCTCAAAATATATGTAATAAATATATAAGTACTTAAATAGCAAATAGTCTAAGTTACTTATTGCAGTGACTTTTTAAATTAATAAATTTAACATTATCATGTTATATGTTAATATTTATTTTTGATATTTTTATTTACCGTATCTTTTAAATATCTTTATAAAAATATCACATAAGATATCTTTTTGTCTATCTGAGATAAATATCGCATTATGCAATGAGGCATTTCATATCCAAATACTGCATTTGAATTACAAATATATCGCACAATGTAATATACAAATATATGATAAAGCGCGAGCATATTATATATAGAATATTGTAATAAAAAATAAAATATATATATATATATATATACATAATTATATATTATTTTTTATTTGTGACAATTTTAATTGCAAATTTTTCAAAACTTCTGATCTCATACAGTACAAATCTTGCAGTTATATTGCAGCAATATTATTGTAGTATTGTAACATTGTAGCAAAGTTATTGCGATATAATTGTAAAATTTATGCTATATAGGATGTCATAAAATAATTTGAAAATTAAATGTTACATCCGCTCGTATGTATTGATATAAAGAAATACGTGTAGCGATCTTGTTTATTGTTTATTCAATCAAGAATTGATTCTTGTATTTATCCAAACTTAGATTTATTTAATATTCGAAGAAATTACTATTAAATTACTATTCGGAGAAATATAATCATGAATTTTATATTACGCAACATTTCATACAATTATATAAGAACACGTTCTTCTTTAACTACTATTTATTTAAACAATCAATAACGATGATATTATATCGTTGTTATAGAAAAAGAGAAAAGCAACACGCAAAATACATTTGACATTTAAATTGAAATTCGCGCGACAAATTATATAAGCATATCGACATATATCGAATAATCGATTAAGATCGAATACAACGATCATACGAAATAAAACTATATACTCATACTTTACATACGTACTAGTGATTATCAAATTACTTTTAATCAAATATTAATTAGTAATATCGTCGTAAATCTAAATGATCTATTTCATCGTTCGATGTTAGTACCTTTAAAAAGTAATTATTTGTAAATTATTAGTTCTTTCTTTATATTAATAAGCAACACATTTCTTTATACTAATAAGCAACATTTCATGCTGAGATATCTGTTTGATTGAACATTAATATTTTGTATTTCCAAAAAACAAAAGCAAACACAGCGAACAGAATCGGAGATTTGAATCCAACGCGCTTGTCCGACCATAGTCATGTGGTCGTTGTTAGTTTGTTATTTCCGAACCAGATAGCGCTGAGATAGCGGCTGAGAGACTCGGCCGTTTTCTTCCTTTTTTCTTCGAAAGGGATTCGTGCCGCTACGCTGCCATCTTTGTCGTCTCGTGCGTTGTTCAGCGGCGTGTTCAGCCTCCGGCTGAAATTTTCGATTTTTCATCGCGTTTTCTGCGTGCATCTTACGTCACGGTCACGATCAGTTGCGTGTAAACTTCATGATGAGTACCGACAGTATCGAAAAACTGTACAAAAATTTCGGCATCCTCGCTGACGCCAAGGATAAATTAGTACAGGTAAGAGCGGCGTGTTGGTTATACCGAACGATTAAAATTCAATTAAAAATTTCAACCGAGATTTCGTTCTGCTGGCTCTTCCAAACCAACGTGGTTTCACCGCAACGATACTCATGCAAACTATTCTTGCTATTGGTGCATTTCGATACATAATACGTTCATCTCGCGCGTACGTATGAACGCCATGCGACATGATCGAATTAACTTTTTTTTTTTTTTCTTTATTTATATTTCGTTCATCTCTTCACTGTAAAGGGTTTGATACTATAGTGGCTTGCCGAAAATATTTATTTTGTACGAAGAGCCATTATAATCATGTTTATTGAAAATCTTTACAATACATGTTACATTAATTGTTGAATTACTAAACCGAAATTGTTTATTGATTGATTTTTGATGATTCGTACACATTAAAAAAATAATCTGGAATGTTAATTTGATTGGTTTTGTAAAATGAATAATAATGTAAATCCTTAGAAAACACTTATGAAACAAATATAACTTCTAATATGGATAACTTACTCCTAAATTTATTGATTCGTGATTTGGAGTTCACTTTAAGACTAAGTAATAAAGATAGAATTACATGATAGTGTGCTAGGG